TCATTCATTACTCACTGATTGGTGACAAGAATCCACATATTACATGTATATGGAGTATCCATCTTGAGTGTACGAAGCCCTCAAGGTTCTCCAGTAAGTGCTCATTCCATATGAACCTAAGACAGGACGGAGGCATAGGACCCTCTGAAGTCCTCATTTGGAACTGAAGGGAATGAGTTACATCATAAGAATAACTGGAGGGGAATATAATAATAATAAATAATATTAATAAATACAGTATAGCTTGTAATATTGGGAGGAGTGATTTTTGCATTTCGATAGATATTTTTAAAATAAATAAAGCATGTTATTTTTTAAACCATTATGTGAATGCTCAATGGCACATGGTTACAAATTGTCCTACAAATCATCAAAAATTTAGGAACCATCAAAATTTACTCCTCCAAAATTAGTAGCTACATGTACACATAACATTTAGGGAGATTTTGTATGATTCGTATACCATATAGCTAGAAATTTCTGTGGCCCAAAATTTCTGCAAATTTCCAAAAAATAGCTTTTGCTGATTTTATTTTTGCTAATTCACTTGATCACACTACTGATCAATGGCTGCTCTTCACTACTTACCAGAACTATAGTTGATGATGACACAAAGCTTTATCAGGATATTAGGCAAGATAGGATTACTCTTTGACTCTGCTTAAAATTGTACTGGAATAGTGCCAAGGGCACACTGTGCTTCACTAATCACTATAACAACACTGAGAAAAGGTGTGGCGAGCCACACCCTTAATTTATCTATTTTTGAGGATTTAATTTTTGCGATTTTGTTCAAATTTGCAAAATTCACAAAAATTTTGGGCCACAGAAATTTCTAGCTATATGGTATATCAAGAGTGGGTAAACCCTAAATAATTATCCACTCTTGGGTATATGTATATACATAACATATGCTATTTACCACAAGTACTGTATCAGTGCATTTATTATTGTGAATTAAAAAGGCACAATAATCCAATTAAATGTACCAACAAAGACGAAATGTATAAAATAAAAATCATTAATAATTATTATAAATATTACTGACCTGAAATAAAAATTAGACGATAGATCAACATGTATTTTAACGTATTTTGATTCATCAGGATGAGCTGGTCTACCAGTAGGAGCTGACAGACAGTGCATGGCAGTGTCTTCAATCTTATACAATATATGACCACCAATATTAGCAACACCGTGGGGGAGGAGGGGTGGAGCCTATTGCCATGGTGATGATAATAACTCACGGTTTTTGTTTGGTGATGAGAATAATGTAATAGCCTTCAAGGAATCTGATAAAACCTAAAATAATGAAGAAAATAATTATAATAATAGTTTTATCAAAAGAATCTTTTTAGTATTGAGAATAAATAATGATGTAATAAATAAATATATAAAAATTAGTATTTTTCATACATGTATATGTACATGTACTAGTCCTTTAATAATACAGTCCAGGATATGGTTGTACCATAGATCAGGAAATTTTCGTTGTTAAAATATTTTCGCGGATGAAGTGACCCGCGAAAATTTGACACACGAAATATTTTCTACAGTGAATAATAAGATTACCGGAATTATTCTAACATACAGCGGTGCATGCACGAGGCTCTTTTAGTCTTCTAAAAGCCCGATGAAGGCCTGAAGCTCTCACCCAAGAGGTTCCTTGTCAGTTTTAGTACTGTCACGAGCAACTTCCATTGAATAGCTGTCCATCGTCATCAAGAGTTAGTAGCCACTTGTGCAGTTTATGACGCTTCAAAAAATTTTCATGTTGAAAAAATTTCGCGGATGGGTCAACCAGCAAAAATAAAACACCTTGAAAAAATTTCACGCCAATTATTCTAGCATGAAAATTTCCCGATCTACGGTACATGTACATGTACTCCTGTAAAAGTCTTTTTACACATTTGCAGTTTAAATAATAAAATTCAATGTCAATTATCTATTACAAATTTTCATACTAATATTACTGTACATGTAATTAAACTGCTTGTATAAGTCTCTTTTTAAACACTTACCAACAATCCCAAAAGCTGATGCCACTTGCTGTAGTCCTCCTTTATAACAAGTGGTGAAGTTCTGATTGGCACTCTCTAACATTGTAAGGGTCTCTTGAACCTTAAAAGATAATCATACACTATCAATAAACCTTTTCTCTCTCTCCCTCTACCTCATTTTGTTGATATTCTTTCTCATCTTCTTCAACCACTAGTCCAGCAGCTCCTGAATGTGTCCTGTCAATCTTTAGCATACAACAACAGCGACCATCATTAGTAGAACCAACAATATAAGTCTTCTACAAGGAGAGAGAGAGAGAGAGGGGGGAGAGAGATTACCAATCAAATGCTTCCTGTTTCTCGTGTGTCATGGTAAGAGAGAATGTCCACTTCCTTTAAAACGTTATCCCAATTAAGTAATGTGAAATGAAGTACGAGAAATTCCTCATTGGCCAGCCTGGATTAGAATCAAGAGTACTAAAGTCACAGAAACCAATTGTAAATCTATTGTTGCCTTCTTTAAAAACCTTTTCAAACCCCGTCAAAAGTTTTGGAGTTAATTTGGAACCTTCTTAATTGACTAGAAAGGACCCAACACTTTTGTGTTCCAATTGAAAGTCGTCATAACGAGAAACCAAGTGCTGGAGGTCGGAGTCTTTAAAAAGAGTATCCAAACGACTAATAGATCTATAAGTGAATGTACTGGAGGGGGAGAGGGCAGGGAATCCAAACCAATAATTGAAACAATATTTCCTTAAGTCGGCATATGTGAGTAACAGGAATGACGTCAGGAGGGACGGGTTTTTAAGGCAATCACCATTTTTAATACTCTCCAAAATGAGACGACCACAGGTATCAAGTAACTCCTTCTTGTCAATGTTGAAGGAGGCGATTGTGTTCATGTTTCGTTGGAGACCAGGAGAAGGGAAGTCTAGTCCAGTAGGCTGGTATCCCACATCAAAAGCAGTATAATCCAGGGATAGGAAAGGAGTGCTAATGTTCCTGTAATAGTTCCCATAGCTGCCCCTGATAGGGACCGGGTCCTCTCTTAGCTGATACTCTTCAAGTTTCCTCTTCCCTAACTCCTGCCAGTACTCCCGGGTCAAGGCTACTGCTGAACGGGAGGAACTGCAACAAGTTTAGAACTTTCACCCTCACAACTGGTAGCCATTTTCGTCACTGTGACGCCTCTTCTCCAGCAAATGCCAAAATGGATTGTACTTTTAAAATACTTTTAATTAAAAATTACACAAAATTGTAATGCAAAAAGTAGTAATAATAGTAATTATAATGGTAATAAATAATAATAGCAGGCAAAGGCAATGCAATATAATCAGCAAAGATTAAAATATTCTTTACGAGCTCTATCTGATTGAAGAAATTTGTCCATGCCAGCCTTCACTCTTCCAAACTTATCAGGATAATCTTCACAAACTTGAAAAGCATTTCTCCAGGTCACTCCTTTATTGGACTCTATCCATCTCTTGAATACTGTCCGTAGCTTATCAGAGGCTGCCTTTTCACTATGAGACAAGTCCTCCACTTCAACATCAAGTGCAGTACCAATAGTTGAATAATGAGCAGCAGAACTATCAAAGAGCCTATGGAGGTCCTTTAATTTAGGCTCCTTGTCCAAAATATCTATGAATAAATATTAATTAATTTAATAATAATAATGAATAGTTCCTTACTTTCATCTGATGACTGATCATTAACTTGTTTTATTTGTGTTCCATTGTCACTCTCATCAGGTCCTATACACAAGTGATAAATTATAAATAATAATTA